GTAGTGGTATTCCGCAATTAAATGCGATTTTGACAGTGTTCTGGTTGTTTATTGTGATTATCAATGACAGGGGATTAATCTATGTTGTTTAAGCTTCAATCTGAATGCTTGGTCAAGGCGGATGCTGTCAGCATAACGTTGGAAGAGTTGTCCAAAGTGAATTAAGGGGACTTTCACATTCAAAATTGAAAAAAAAGACACTTTTGTAATATTTCTTTATAAAAAAAACTATTATATTTAGAAACATAATTCCTTTTGGACGCTATTATATATATTATTAAGAACATAAAGAAATTTTTTCTAGCACTTTTAGTTCACCACGACCGCTGTAGAGGGCGTCTTCCAAAAAGCCACGTTTTAATCGGTGAGACACTTTGCAGACGTCCTGTAAAAAATTAAGTAAAAATTCAAACGGGATTCTATTCGTGAGACTTAAAACTAGACAATACACCTCGTAAAGTTCATAAACCTACTGCGTCGCAGTAGTCGGCTGAAACACTCGACTGCCAGTTCACACAAATAGAAGCAAAGTATGCTTGTGTGGAAGAAACTGTGGAATAAAGTGGGGGACGCCGGGACGTCGTGGTGGTGGAACCAAGTTCCACGATTCTGGCATCACTGCATGTGACCATGCTTTTCCAACCTGTACTTAACCTTAAGATACAAGAGTTGATTATTTCCGAAGATTTGGAATTATGGCCGTGTATCACGACGAAGTAGAAATCGAGGACTTTGAGTACGACGAGGACGAGGAGATATATTATTACCCATGTCCTTGCGGTGATCAATTTCAAATATCTAAAGCAGAATTGGCCACCGGGGAGGACGAAGCCACATGTCCATCCTGTTCCTTGGTTATAAAAGTAATCTACGACAAAGAAGCGTTCGCAGCCAAAGAAGAAGAGCTTGTGAAAGGCGAAGAAAAAGAACTTATGGTGCAGGAGGCTTGAGGTTAAATAGTTCATCTTTAGGAGCAGTGGTATGCTATGTTCTTCATGGTTATGATTAATATTTCTGGAGTTGAGTAAAAGAGGGGGAGAATCTCTTCTACACAAAGGATTAATTGTCACGCAGAAATTGCACTGTAAGTTGAGCAAAAATATTATTAACAGTATATTTCTTACTTTGTCAGTTACAATTGTTGGAAGATAAAATAGATCACAATGGCGGGACGTGGAAGAGGAAGAGGAAAGCCTACTATGTCCATTAGTACAGAACAGCTGGGATTTTCCAAGGGAGAAGCTCTGCCACCTCCAGTTTTACAGCCTCCACCAAAGTATCCTCCTCTGGAATATAAACCGTTGCCTTTGACCATCGCGAAAGAAATGAGTTACTTGTTGGAACTCAAGAGAGAATTCGCAGAATATATGAGGGAATCTCCGAATAATGTTTTGCCACTAGTAATTAAAAAGGATATTGAAAGATACTCTGACAGGTATCAAGATTTAATAACAGACAAAAGCACTTATGATATCAGGTATGATTGGAGCAGAATGCCAGCAGAGTTGAAGCCTCAGATGAAGAAACGCAAAGGACAGAAGATATCGAAGCCGAAGAAGAAGAAGAAAAAGAATGTGGACATTGACACTAAACTACAGGAGTTAGAAAAGAAGGAGACTACTCAGCAAAGCGATGTGGAGGAGGAAGAGAAAGAGGAGGAAGAAACGGAAGACAAAGACGATGAACAGGTCGAGGACGAGGAAGAGGAGCTGGATGAGGAAATGGACGAAGGAACGGACTACGTAAACAATTACTTCGATAACGGAGAGGGTTACGACGACGAAGATGATAATTTAGATGATGGACCTATTTATTAACATATAAGTTTTTATAAGAATTGGAAATTCATCTCGCGGTTCTCGATCACCGGACTAGGATACTTACAAGCTGCTAGTTGAGCACTGCACGGCAATGTATATATTTTTTCTCTCTCTCTCTTCATTATTTTTTTTCTTTTCTTTATCGAACTCTCGATCGTGTGTACAGACACAATAAATTGTATTTATATGTATATATATATATAACGGTCACGCATTCTTAGGTTATCTGTTCTTCCCTAATAATTCCATCGAAGAAACTGGCATCGAACGATGAACTGAGGCGGACGATTCGATGAAGGATCGATGATTCACGAAATTATGAGAAAAATAATGAGTCCACAGGGTCACAGGAAGCGTCGGCGTGTTCTTTATTTTACGAGTATTTCAATTTCTAATATATAATATATATAACACATCTGGACGCGAGAAGGGGAATGCGCAAATGTACCGTAGTGTCACGTAATGCTTTCACGTGTTTATAATACGCTCGCCGCGGTGGTGTCTCGAATGTGAACCCGTGATGTGTGCTTCTTCTTCCTCTTTCTTAGTATCCTTTTTTTACTCTCTATCTGATTGCCCTCGTGTTTCTTTGTCCTCTTTAACATTTTTTTTTCCACGCAAGTTTGCTGTATACCTGTCGTACATCGCTCCCGGAGTGTGCGCGTCGAGCGCTGGGAGGGGGTTTTCGAAAAGGAATAAAAAGTTAGTCTCTGCGAAAGAAGGTGTGTGTCGATTCCCTAAAATTTCCAGTCGGCCGCCATTCGCCTGTTGCCCCCACCCCCCGCCTCGTCATTTACTAACGTTCCTGAATTCTCTCTCTGATAAAAATCGATTTGACGGTGAATCTAGCAAGCGATCGATCCTATACGGTGTTCGAAAAACACATAAGTATATATATAATTATATTTTTTCTTTCGTCCGTTTTGAGCTCGACCGGGTTGGTCCGGACGCGGCTTCTCCAAGTTTAAAGCTCGCGTTATGGCGAACGGTTCGAGTATAATGTTCCGTGGTGTGTCGCGAAGGATAACGAAAGAAAACCCTGTTCACGATCATCGTTTGCTTCGATTTCTTGTTCACCGTCGATCCTATTCGCTAAACATGAAACAGAACTGATCTATAACCCCTCGCGAAACAAGCTGGTGTTAACAGAGAATATATTTTCGAAAACAAAAACACGAACCACATTTCGGTGAATGGTCGCCTAATATCCGACGACAGATTTTTCACTGTTCCTAAAAGAAGCAAAACTTTCAATCCAGTCGGCGCCAAGACATCGTTTCACGAGAGTATTGTGTTTTCACCCGGCGCGGTTTCGTTGTATCAAAACAATTATATCATCCCGTTCAAATCATCACCTAGGTTCATTGAACGAATCGGAATCCCTCAAAACACAGCTCCACCCCCTTCGATCCGCCCACCCCCCCCCCCTCTTCGTTTGTAACCGTCGTTGTTCGAACGTCCGTTTTCACTCCGCCTCGTCGTGTCGTTTCTCAATAACGTATATTTATGTATAATGTATATAGATATATTTGTGTGTATATATACTTTGTATATAATCGTCGCGTTTTAATATAGCACGACCTATCTATGTATATAAGTAGGCATAAAGAGACTGAGGCGAGAATACAGGTGATATCCCTGAACGATAATCGACTCGTGTCCGGTTACTTTCTTTTCTTTCCATCTTTTTTTTATTCCTCTTGTCTCGTCGCGAAAGAAAAACCCCATTTCCCGTCGAGATTGTCTGCCGATTCTGAAGCGCAAAATTAACAAAGAAAACGTCACCCTCCGTTCCAACCATTCAGAGTATGGTATCTATGTACGTATATCATCCGCGTTATACTTTCCCGCGGAACAATCGTATATCCGATGTGTCCCCAAAACGTTTATTCGTACGGAAGAACTACACTATTTTTTTTAGGGGGGGGGGGATTTCGGGATGTATCGAGGGTTTGTTCAATTCGTCAATTTAAATCATCCCCCTTGCGTACAGTAGACTCGCGTTAAAGTGCTGCCGGTTAAAGCATTTGTTAGGAACGCCTGTGTCTGTAACCTTCGGTGGCCAATGATTGGTCCATTGATCAAGCTGCGACGAGATCCTGCGCGCCATTGGCCCAGAGACGAGAAAATTCATTATCTAGATAGAGTTTCGAATAGAAGATAAAAAAAAGCACTTCGTCATTTTTAATCGTTTAAAATGTGGAAACTCCAATTTTTTATAATAAAATAATACTTCGTCTTGAATGAGTCGACATTTGGCAAACAATTATTTAATGTCGTTGACTGTTCAACAATCAGGATGACGCTCTTAGATACTGCAGCTTTTCACTATGTATTATTCAAATAAAAGTATGCCCAACTCTGTATTGGCCTTCGTTAATGTGCTGTTTCCTGGAAAAGACCGTCTGTAGAGCCTCGAGAGCAGTGCTGTAACGCGAGTTTACTGTACTTCCTTTGATTCGTAGAACAAGACTCTATCTCTATCTCCTTTTCTCTCTCAGTCTCTCAGAGTATTCGACGTTTTCTCACGCCTTGTTTTCCGCTTGTAACTGTCGTCGAATTAGAGAACAAAAAAAAAATGCGCGCGTGTTTCGGAACGTGGCCAGCACGTTCCCCGGATATCATCCCGGTTTCTTAAGGCCCGTTCCTCGGAGATGGTCTTTCGCAATTTCTCTTCGACAGAACCAAATGTGTGTGTGTGTGTTGTGTGTATGTGTGTTCGCATGGTCGAGTAAAAGGCTTGGAACACGAAGATATTGATAAAGAATTTTTGAACGGTGGCGGTGGTGGAAAACGTTCTAGAAATCACAGGAGAAAATCAGTTTCCGAAATTCGGGGATGGGCAGTGTGTCTGTATGTGTATGTGTGTAAGCTTTTTGTGAGGTGAGTCTTCCTCGGACTCGCGAAGCAGTCGCGGACTTGCTTGTTACACAGTGGACTCGCGATAATTGCCTGCTGAATAAACTATTCGTTAGAAATGGCCCTTACTCGCATACGCATTACTTACACACTTTGGATGACGTTTGTCGACTGAGTTATGCTATCGATAATCACCCGTTCACTAGAACTGCCCGCCTCCTAGAGCCCCCAAACGCGGGTACTATCGCAAGTTTACTGTACTTCGTCGCTTAGAACCCTGAACAAGCTGTAACTTCGGCCCTGTTCCTCTCTTCGCGTATTATATTATGTATATTCCCTTCGTTCCTCTGCCGTGCACCAAGAAACAGAAAAAAAAGAGGGGTAAATCGTTCGAACAATTGGAGAATCGGTCGAATCAGTGGCGCGCAGCCTGTGCAAGTCTCCTCTAACCGTGTGTATGTGTATGTGTATGTACGTGTGTATGTGTGCTCGCAATCGAACGTGCATACGACCATCACACGACGACGGACGCGGTTTACAATGGGTGTGGTCATCGTGATAACATCAAGATTAATGAGCTAGACCGCGGATGTTTATGCAAGTACAAATTGTTTTTATGGGTCGATTATACGGTGAACGGCTTTATTTTTTCCTCTTACAACGCCTATAAATGAACTGTTTGTTTTTTTCTTCTTATTTTTTTCCATTTTTTTTCGTAAGGAACGTGTGTAGATTACGAGTAGTAGGTAAGTCAGTTTCATTACTGACCGAAGATTTCCCTCGTTTATCGGACGATTAAAACGGTTTCCAAATGGCTATCGGATCGTTCCGTGAAATATAACTAGCACAAGAGACGGTGAATAAATCGCGCGAATACCGCGGACAAAGTAACGGGCGCATATATACGTATATTATATATTATATATATATATACCCATTGGAAAAAAACAAATGCACGCTCGTTGGTTTAGGCTGTCGTAACCAGAGGCGCGGTGGTGACACACACGCACTTTCTGATCAGCTTCGCGTCGACGACAAAAGAATTGAATACGTTTCGAACGTTTTTTTTTTACGAGTCTCGGACGACGACGACGATATTATATATATAATATATATAATATATATATATTACTCTATAAATGCATAAAATCCGCTGTCTATTATTAATACAGTTCGCGCGCATACGATCCCGCGGAACAAAATCGGATCCAGCGATCGTGCCCCGCCACTGTTCCGAGTGAATCGTTCCCGACATAATCTATGAACTCACGCAACAAATTTTCGTTGCTTCGCGTGGAATGTAATGATTCAACACTTATCACAATAGGTTTATCGCGTTCACCGAGGGGCCGGTGGTAAACGCGTTTGAAAAAACAGCCTTCGGTATTCAATACGCGGTGTATTCGACTAAACAAGAATTCTTTCTTTTTTTTTCACGTACGTTCGTGATGGAGAACGTTGGCCGTTCAAGGTTCATATCCGCTGCCGCGAGTAAAATAGTAAAACATGCGCGGATTCGTGTGTGTCTGTGTGTGTCGCTTCTACTGGCCTTTTGTGGTCGCGAATGGGCGGAGCAAGAGCAAAGAAGGCGTGGCACGGTGGGCGTGGGGGCCGTGCGGGGGTGTCACCTTGCCACGGCCAAACGTTCCCGTCGCGTTGAAAATACAAATCGTATCGTCTCGGCACGTAAGACGGCATTATAGGCGGCGGACACCATTTAACGTTTTAAAGTACCCCACGAGTATCCGATACACGGCGTTGTTAAGTGTTTCGTTTTACTTTCAGATCGTCTGATTAACCAGCTTGGCCATTCCGTACGAAACAATTCGCGCCACCGCAACGAATATAACGGTTTTAAAAACTATACACCGAATTCAAGCTACATACACGCCTTTCGGATATTCAATTATTTCCAGACACCGTCCAGCGACTTGCTTCCATCGTGCAAGCGGGGCCTAATATGTTTGTCGCAATTCTAAACGCAGCCAGGAGGGGGAGGGGGAAAGGATGCTGAAAGGGGTTGGGGGGCAGGAGAGGAGAGTCGAAAAAGGAAGTGGAAGAAAGAAGTAAGCTCGGGATCGCGGCCAATGGTGTGCCGATCTGTCCAATCTCGCAGTCCAATCGAACGTCGACGACGAATTTTCCAGTTTCACTTTTTTTTTGCTTCCTTCGGTTAATGGAGATTATTTCTTCCTAGGCGGAAACAAGCAAACAATGATCCGATGGAATCTAGGAACGTAGTAAAAAGGAATCTTCGATTCTTGATGATGATCTCTTTTTTTTTGTCTCGATTGAAATTGATCCACACGAACACAACTGGTTTTTGCGCGTTGAACAATCGTCGTCGACGTCGATCGACCGTCCCTTCGAACAAAAGCCCCCATACAGCCACGGTAGTTTCCGTTAAACTATCCACAATCTCTCTAGTCACGATCCAGGAAGTCCCAGTGAAAAATCGTTTTATCATCTCGAGTCCCTCTCGTCAGTCGTTCGCATCTGTGATCATCGCACACGTATGTATCACTCGTGTGTCGTCGCTTCTTTTATTCTCTTTTTTTTTATTTTTTTTCCGCGTTTTTCTTCGTAAGATTTTTTGCCTTTTTTTGTTAAATCCCTTTAGCGGCGTTCCTTTATCATTAAGAGTTATCATCAAGTTATCAATTATTAATCGTTATCGTTATTACTGCTTCACTACGGTTGGTTTGACTCTTGGACGTGGATCTGGATGGAGTGTGGTGTACCGGTGTGTACCAAATGCGCGTGAAAGAGAGAAAAGCTTCCGTCGCTCGGTTTTTGTCTTTATCTCCGTTCTTTCTCTCTTTCTCTATCCTATCCTGCCTTCCGTCGTCCTCGGGTCGGTGGGAACCAAGGGCCCTTCCAATGTCCAATAGTCCTCGCCGCGGTTCATCTTTGCGTTTCGTCTTCTCTCCTTTCGCTACTTTCATCCATCAAGCATCACCGTCTCTGAGAAGAACGGGCCGGCCCGTTACCCCCACCAATCGCCACAGCTCCGTCGACGATCGTTTCAACCCTTTCGAGATGAGCGCGAGATGATCTCCTGAAGATGTAATACATTCACACTCGTGGCTAACTGGGACATTTGTGGAATGCGAATTAACCGTTGAATCATCGAAAAGTCGCAGATGAATAATAGGACTTCTCGCTGGGCCCAGTAGCTCGAAAGAGGAGGAACGTACACAGACAACAGGATGCAAACGGAATTTGCGGCGAGTAACGAGAGGGTAGTTAGTTCTACCCTTTCTTTTTGTCTCGCCCCTCCCCGTAAGCTTTCGTGTGTGTGTGTGTGTCTTCGATGCATCACCGACTAGCACCAATTTCGTCGTTGATCCCGAGAGCCAAGCACGAAAAGCGTGATACACCGCCAACGGGGATGCGCGAACGTTCCCGCTTCGGATTTCGATCCGACTCTTGTGGGGAGGAATTCAGTTAGGAGTCGTTCCGTTTCCGTCTTCGGTTCCTTAATTCCTTTCGCTGCTCGCGCGGCCTACAATTTGCGTGTGTACGTGTATGTGTGAAAAACAAACGAATAAACAAACAAACACTACGCCTCACTACAGTAATTCGTTCCGCTTGCTGCTCGGGTGGCATCCCCCGGTTCGCTGGTGCTCGAGGGGAAGCTCCTTGGCTCGATATGTACCGAGAGACCACACGGCCACGCCCGAAGGAATCGAGGAGACTCCGAATCTTGGAGGACTTTGCATCCTAGAGGACTCTGGATCTTAGAGATTCTGGATTTTAGAGATTCTGAATCCTAGGGACCTGTAATCCTACAGACGCGACCATTTTTTTATCGGAAGATTGGAAGGTCCGAATATCTCTTCTTCTCGAGGGTTGTGCAGTAATTGTTGTTTCTAAACGTTTCATCCCCGCCCTGGGGTCTCTCGGCACGATTGGGATATTCGGAAAATGGAATGATTCTCACAGTTTCCGGGTCGGCAAACTTTGAAAGAAACTAATTATCTCTGCGGTACCTCCGACGACACCGCGGATCTTCTCCTCTTTTATCACACCTTATGCTTTCTCTTCACACTGTCCTTATAGACATTCCTCGTTCCAGTTAGCGCAACGACCGTGATCGACACAAGAAGCGTCCACGGGACCGTCTTCGGTACCGCGATTAATCCGCGAGTGCGATACCCATAACGTACATACGGTGTACATGTGTATAATTGGTTTTTCCGTATATAGACTTATATAAAACGCACGAAGCGGCTGAAGGCTATTTCATATCCTTCCCCCTTTATTTATAGCGATAAGCCGTGTACTCCTTGTTTCCTCGCGATTCGATTCGTTATTCACGGGTACCTCGTGTGGATTACCTTCTTTCATCGTCATCTTTTTTTTTCTCCTGTTTCTCTTTTTTTTTCTTCTCTTTGTTATCAATGGAAAAAGAATTCGGGCTTAACTACGGCGGATCTCTGTCGAGATCACTTGAATATCCTAGAAACATTACTGACTCGCGTGTGTTCGTCTAGGTGCGTGTCTTCCTATGTATGTATCGCGTGGCGTCCGTGCCTCTTTCTTTCTCTGTCTTTCTCTATCTCATTCTCTTCTTCTCCGCGTGAATCGCGTGTACGTGTCGAGCGTGCTGTGCACGTCCTCTGGTTCCCTTTCATATCCATCACCCACGGTCCTTGGCATGTCTCGTCTCGAGATCGTGTCCGGTCGAAGGAGCCGGCTCTTCGATCGCGCCATCCTTCGAACCGTTCCTCGAGCTTCAACGAGACCGACGCGTTGCCTGCACGCACCGTCTTCGTCTCATCCTCGGTCGTCTTACCGATCTGAGCTGTTCTTCCGGTTCTTCGTCCCGTTTTCTGCGCGATACTTCGCACGACGATCCATAATCCTCGGCTCCATTGAGACGGCCTAGAAGCTCCTCTTCTAACAACGAATAGCGTCTGTACGACGGAAACTTTGGTGTTACACTATCCTTTCTTCCTCCGTTTCCTCTACTTCCTGCACGTCGAAAGCAGCAAGGTCTCCGGAGCTGCGTAGACGACGACGAAGACCATTGAACGCGCGACAGGTAAGACGGAAAGGAACCAGCCGAGATCTCGTCCCCGACGGGGATCGTTTGGTGACCACCATACTTCGGCCAGGGACAAGCAGACGAACCACGAAAGGAGCTGCCACAACAGGAGACCACTGATAGTCTCCTGTTCCCCCGTACTTTTCTCTCTCTCTCTCTCTCTCTCTCTCTCTCTCTCTCTCTCTCTCTCTCTCTAACCCCCCTCGTTCCGCTCCTCCTTCTAAGCCGAGGAACGTCTCACGTGCATGTTCTCCGCGCGAACGGTCTAATTCTCGGAGCCGCTGCCCTTTCCCCAGAACTTGTCGAAGCGGTTTCGCGCCTTCTCCAGCACCTCGCTCGCCGCGGAACGCTGCGCTGAGCCTGGTACAACCGTCGGCGCCTCAAGTACGTGATAACCACCCCCGGTGCTACCAACTACCCCAGCCATGCCACCGCCACCACCGCCGCTGCCGGCGCCCTGAGGCGATTCCGCCTCGAGGATACGGTAACCCGGCTGTGGAGCCGTCGACGATGACGGTGTCGTCATCGTTGCGGTCGTAGTCCCTTGGCTGGTCTCCTTCTTCCTGTCGTATTCGAATCCTGGATCATCTAGGCATCTTAAATTCGTTCCGGCTACCGGTTTTATCGACGAGTCCGGTCTTGACTGGTCTTTTGACTCCTCCGCTCCGCCGCCTGTTGACTCCTGCAAATCAGTTGTACGTTTAGTATCCTTGTGATTCGTTTTACATCTCGTTTCACTAGCAGTAAGCTAAATACTAAATCACTACGATAGTGTGTGTGTGACTCACCTTTTCACCCTGTGTCGGCGTGCTAGCGCCAGGGCCGCTCGTTGGGAACGGGCTGTCCCTTTCCGAGTCCATGTCTTTGTGACCGTTCAGACCGCTGAAGCTGCCGATCGAGATGCTCTCGCTCTCCGGCGACTTGTAACCGGAATGCTGGGAGTGATGCGACTTGTGCTGGGCCGCTAGCTCCGGCGGGGCTGACTGAGGCGCGGACGGGAAGGACGACGGGGCCCATGATTTTGCCTCGCTATGCGGACGCGTCAGTGGTTCTGAAATAGAAACGGACAGTAGAATCTCTAAGAGTATCCACTTGAATCATAATCACAGAGTATTGGTATCGAAAACATTCTTTTCTCGAGGATCTTCCGCCGTTCTTTGGATACAGTACTTCTAGTTTTACGAGGCGTGACAATAAAGTTTCGAGAATAACTCCGTTTCCATTACATGAAATTATTCTAGAAATTTTATTGTCACGCCTCGTGTATGGCCGAAGAACAAAACGAAAAATCTACATATTTTTCAGACAACCGAATGATTTGGAGGCGGAGGGCAAAGATGTAGGCGTACCTTCTCTGACGTTTTGCGTGACAGTGAACGTTTTCCCGGTGTCCAGTGGTACGGTCCAATTTACCGGCTCGGGGGATCGCATGATCATCTGCTCGGGCGACTTTACCCTGGTTGGTTCCGGCGGGCTTTTCACCACCGGCTCGTCGTCGAGCCACGGGCTTGCTGCGGTCGCCGGAACCGGATGGGCCTGCGACGGTGGCGTTGACTCGACGTTCAGGTCCTCGCCGGTCACGTCCCCGTTTACTTGCGGCTCCGCCGTCACTGGAACGTTTAATGGAGGCTTTAGCGACGAGGTATACACCGCTCTAGTTGGAGGCCCACCCCCCAGGGAAGCATGCACTCGATGGATCGAGTCCTCTACGTGTATCGTTTCACTCCGAGTGACTCTGAGCGCGGGATTGTGTTACGCACCGTTATGTCGTGAATACTTGGAAAGAAAAGTTGGGAACCCGAGAGAATATAGGAAAACTTCGATCGAGGACTGAGAGGTATGAACATATTACGGGGAATAAGGCGGTACAATTAGTGGTCGTCTGAAACATTAGTGCACTCCCCGCGGTACGTAACACATCCTCTTCAAGCTCGGAGGAGAGACTGGACGAGTCTTCGTCTCAAAGCGTATTCCAGCTGTATCCCTCCCCCACGCAAAAAAAAAAAAGAATTTCGTTCCACCCCTGACCAGTGAAGTCAGGCTTCCAAGGCAAGTGTCGAAAAGTGAATTGATCGAGTCATCGAGCGCAGATACCGGAAAACCATCCAGCCGCGGATACCAGGATCTACACAATGGACACAGAGCATTTCCCAGAGAGAAGTACACTAGCGCACTCAGAATGCAGGAGAGGACACACGTACAGATATTTATATATAGTATACAAGTACGTATATACATATATACATACATATACATATAACTAGATCTTGTGTGACGGTGGGTGTGTGAGATGTGAGCCGTGGTTTTGTGTTGCGCGGGCCGCGCAACAAGTTTACAAAGGGCTCCAATGTTTACAGGCTATTCTTCTCTCTCTACCGCGGGGAATGATTGCTCGATCGCGAACGACGATTTATTTCTGCACGGAATACACACTCGCGAGACCCTCGAGAAACAAAGGTCTTTCTTTCTGTCAAAGAAATCACGCATGGATATAAACAGAGCCTTGATCCAACGATCGTTCGGAGACTGGGATCGTCCATCGTTGGTTGCGCACTTAATAGTTAGTGGGCCCTCATTGTTTTACCATCCTACCGTATCCTGCAGCCCAACAACTATACGACGACGGAAAGTTTCTCGACTGTCTCTGTACCTGAGTGTCAGTAGAAAAATGTGTTCGCGGATTCTGTACGCGTGTAAATCGTGCGGAAAGCCGATCAAAAAACGCAGCCACCAGCCCCACTAGGCGCAGCAGACGGAGGCCTAGCTGAAGTTGGCGCGTTATCGCTCAGTCACGCCGCGACCAACGAACGGAGAACTAAACAGAGACGCGTACACACACACAGAGCTGGTATGGCAGCAGCGTCGACGATGAAAGCGCAATGAAAACGGGCGGGAACAGTGAGGTGAGGCCGGCCACGTTCCCTTTCGCACATGAGAAAAGTATACAGGGAGAAAAAATATGCAAGAATCATGCGCGGTTCATCTTGCCCGCGGCCATTCTAGGCGTTTAGTCTGAAAGGCACTGACAAATATATATAGAGAGTGATAGGACGATGTATGTAGAGAGTTTGAAAGAACGAGGACTTGACGATGTAGAGAGAACCAATGCAGAGATTTTTAGGTCGTCCCAGAAGTAACGCGGCTTTGATAAATTGGTAAAATGGCACTCCTACTGGTGCTAACCGGAGATTTTGACTCCAGAAGTTAGCGAGTTTTCTGGGTGGATCGTGAGACTTTGGTGAGGATATTTTACCCATGAAATGGGTTTTGTAACCTCTAATATATTATATAATCTATTGATGAGTTGAGAAGATACTGGAAGAACAATGGAAATACAAATCGGCCCTTAGGAATTGTGGAGCGTCCGTGTTTACTCATCAGGTAGAGTCATCACCCTTCAAATAAGAGATTAAGAGGTACTCATCGGATAACGAAGCTTGTCCCATAAATATATAATTTTTCCGGCTGAAAAACAGTGACCTATAGTCGGTCCTTTCTGTTCTAGACTGAAAATCGATGTCCTCCGAAGCGAGGAACGTAGAAAATGGATTCTCCTATAGTGACGTTAGAAGTCAAACATAATGGATAGATATCGTGGAAAACCACAAACATATAGTGAATCGTGTAACACATATATTCGACATCGAAAGAGATTATTGTGAACACTGAAAGACTCATAAACAAGTGGAACAACAGACCCACTGTACATTCAAGTGTGAGATTCTTAACAGAAAATGGTAAACTGAGAGTGTACGTGTTGAAGAAAAGAAGCCGCGCTACTTATGGGGCGACCGCGTACAGAAATAGAGAGACACGTAGAGAGAAAGAGAGAGAAAGAGAGAAAGAGAGATAGATACATAGTTACACAACAACGAACACGAAAAGCGTATAAAAAGAGATACAGACACTCTCGAGCGAAACAAATTAATAGCAACAGGCCGAACGGCAGAGAGCATGCTACTTACTAGGTTGGACGGCGGTAGCGGCTTGATTTGACGCGTATCGACTATCGGAGGATGATTTGGATGGATCGGCGGCGGCGGCTGCGGCCGCAGCCGCAGCTGGATCGTCGCTACACGTTTTTGCCGGAGCTTCGTTCGGACCTTGGCACCGGCTTATATCTTTAACACGGTCCGGCCTGGCCGCAGCGGCAGCGCTCGACGTAGGTGGGTGATGGACACTCGTATGAACTGAATGCTTTACCGGGGGTTTTACAGTGGTACTAGCGGTGGTTGTGGTGGTGGTGGTGGTTGAGGGTTTGGCGTGATGAAGAGGGCGATGGGGAGGAGCGGTGGTTGCGAGGAAGGCTAGAACATACCGGACACAAAGTACAATGATGAATAAAGAGCACCGTTCTTCGGGGGACTTTTCACGCTGTCGTTCAATTGACCACGCCATGCTTAAAATGCGACCAGACCAACGCCTTCCGGTGGAGCTACCGCCGAGGCTTCTGGCGACCAGTCACTGACTCTGTGTCATCGATTTTCTTCCTTCCGACACGAAGTTAGTTCGATCGCTCGATCAAAAGTTCACTCTGAGATTTTTATGCGCGTATTCTTTGGCCTCGAACAGAATTGGTACTCCTCTATCTCATGGAAAACTTGGAAATTGTATTCACAGGCGGCGATAGTAGCCTCGAGCAGTTGTCAGTCGAATTTAACTCTTGTGGGACCTTTTTGGTCTATAACTTACCGCTGGGGTGGAGTTCGAATTTTTACCTGATTAGTCTTGCTACCTATCACGTTATACAACTTTACGGTATAATTGCAAGGTTCGGTCAGACGGTGGCACACGATTGATGAGGGTCAATCTATCTATGGAATCGTCTTAATCACAGAAGACTAGTCATCAGTCAATCAAGCGTCTCTTCCTAATGTACTCGGTTCTCAACGAAAATGCTCAGTCTAGTTTAAAGAGAATATAGAATATTGCCGAAATATTTATCGCAAACTGTTCGTTTGTCCGTTCGGCGATTAAAAGTCGTAGTGGAAACCGTTGAAAGGGTTCAGAGGCAAAATAAAGCGTTCCGGGCGATTGTCGAGCATTTTAAGCAAGGCTGCGTCGCTTCGTCGAGGTTCAATTCTTATTGGAGAGGTCATTGAGGGCTGAAGGGTCTCCCGTGGTTATCGAACCCGCGCGGAATATGTGTCCGCGGTTGAATATCGAGTTCCGCGTGACTACATCTTGCTCGAACTTCAATTCCGGGTATGTCCCTACCCCAACTCTCGATCCTCCAAAAAAAACCGTTCTAAACACCGCGAAACCGCGCGATACCATCGTCACTGTTCGATCCAAATCACGTGAAATGTTTACAACGGTTGTGTATCACAAAATTAGACTGTTAAAATTTTAAGTTAACTCCGAAAACAGTTTTTCAATTCTTCGCCGAGACCGAGAATTCGATAGTCGGGGTTCAATCCTCTAACGATTTCTCACAGCCCAGAAGGGGGGAGAGGGGATGAAGAGAAATCGAACAATGTGGGCACACTAAATCGAAAGGAAAAATGAACCAAGCAAACAAAATGAAAATATCCTGGGGAGAGGGGCTTCGCGGGTCTTTATAAACTTGTCGAAGGGTGAAAGAAGAGGCGTTTTTTGGGGAGGGTGTGAAAGGCAAGGTAGAGGTTGCAGGATTCAGAAGGGGGTGGGGCAGGGTTTAGAGAACCGAGAAATACGTGAAAGTCGGGCTAGCGGGCAGCAGGTACGTGGGTACAGAGAACGTACATTTCCGATGGACCTGTGGGGGCCTCCTGTGGAACGGAGTAGGCCCTGGGCCCGAGGGTGGTGGCGGTAATGGCGGCACGCTGGTCGACGGACCCGTCGAGGATATCGTCGAGGGCTCCCGTATGCTCCAACGCACGCGGCCGGGGCCCGTGACTGAAACACCCGCTGCCACTACTGATCAATCTGATCCGCCACGGTCGGCTCACGACGTATCGGGTAACGCGTTGGGTTTTAAGGTATCTCGCGCGGGGCCAGCTAACGACCCTGATTTAAAATGACGAGAGAAAAACACAGAGGTGGGTCGTATGCACTGGGTGGGTGCTAGTTTCTTTTCAGGAATGGTGTTTATTTTCGATGGGGATGTTCCACCCATCGACTTATGGGTTTCTGACGATTTCGATGTGAATGTGAGAGATACGATGGAGATCACGATCAGAGAGAAGACCGATGAAATGGCGATGGTGATGTTGGGTGACGATAGATGAAGATGAGGATGGTCCAAAATGGCGAACTGTGACGAATAATGATGTGTGTGTGGCGCTCTAGGTGCTCACAGATTGTAGGGATATATATATACGGTGAATAAGATTGTCATCCATGATAATTGGGATGTCGTTAATGATGACAGATGGTTCTTCTCTTTGACATGGTTGGCGTTCGTAAAATCATCCAAGGTTTACCAGGGGCGTTCGTAAAGCTACCTGAGGTTCACGGGAGAAGGTGTTCGAAATGCAACGCACGACTACACACCGTCTATTACGTTAGAAAACGCGATCGACGATGCAGATCGATCGCCGTCGATCGTGCCATTATACGCACGCATACGGGTGTGCGCGTGGATGTCGCGGCTACTCGCGGGGTTTAACGGAGAGGCCGTGTTCAGGAACTGGGGGGAAACAACGTATGTCGCAAAAACAAAAAAAAACTTTCTGTTACTTGACAATCATATATAGAGCTACTTGGTTTTGTTTCACTAGACTGGCAAAGACAAATATAGATATATATATAAGGTACGATCAATAAACACGAGTGTCATGCAAATATCTGCCTAAGGAGAGAAAGAGAGCGAGAGAGACACAAAGACAAAAAAAATAAAAATAAATACATTACCGATGACGAGTGTTGGCACACACAATCGATATGTCGTCGTTCAGGGCACAAATACCGCTCAAAGAATCGATTATTAGAATCGACACGTGACAGACACAGGCGGATCGTGTAGTTAAGAGATGCTCAAAGTCTACGAGCGAGTACAGTAAATCCTCGACAATATTTCATAAACTAACGGCCATGTGTGGCTGAAACAAATATCATCGGCTTCGAAATCCCAAGCTCTATCACTGTGCCAAACCTCATCAAAAAACCAGCGTTAGACCTGAGGACCTCAATCGAGTAGCCTTCGAACACTCATCGATGATTTACCGTATTCCTCACCAGAGGTACCTCCACTACGGGGCTCTGGCTGATACGCTCGAGCCGTAGCGGCAGGACGCGGTGAATACGGAAAGACACTGAACAGCTTGAACTTCTTAGTGGGGGTACAGCTGCTTCAAAGATATAGCGTTAGTCATTAACCTAACCGACCCTAAAGTTTATGTATTTCGGTAGCCTAATCCTGCCATTCGATACCCTTCAGTTGTAAAAAATCTGCTCGACCGTCGTTCAGGAGCTTACGACGTCAATTTGGGATCGGTTTTTCCGTTTTAATGAAATTAAAGAAATTCTTATAGCGTACTAATTTTATATTTGAAACGTAAATTTCTTTCAAATATTCCAGTATTTTTCGTTTTATTCCTTGGAACCGCATAGCTGACAGTGACCTGCAACCCTGAATGCGGTGGGACGTAATGGGCCCCCGATGATCGAGTACTAATGGGTTTAAGAGTCGGCCACGTTTATGGCTAACGCTATATCTTTGAAGCAGCTATACCTTTGGGGGGGAATACTCGCTCGTGGGCGTTAGTTGGGTATCTCTGAGGTAGGTATACTTGGGAGCTGATGAGAAGTCCTCCAACCAAATTCGTGACAAAGAGAGCGAACGGGACACACGAGATCAAGTGAGTTAGAGCGATAACAGATTAATCCGCGTACTGACGTAGCAATGACGTAGAGTCTTCCAGTGCTAGCCATTGGTTGGCGAAATACCCCTCTTGCTCCTGTGCCGTCCAGTTTGTAAGAGCTGAGCAACTCAGCAGCTCCCAACTGTACATTCACAGGAGGCGGAGGTTGTTTGAACTGTTTAGCAGCGGTGAATGTCTCTCGCGTTCACGTTCCGAACAAAGGTGGTTTGGTGGGATGAACTAACTTATAAGTAGAGAACACGTTACGGCTTTTCGAGGGTCACAAGAGCATAAAACAGCAATCCAAATATAGTCGCATAATAAACATATTTATACACGAGACTGAACTATCAACGAAAAAAAAAAAAAAAAAGAAAAACAAAGTTGTATACCAGTCGATGCACGAAAATGCAGAACGAAATATATTCGTGAGGTAAGGGGGGGTAGGATTACGAGCGCCAATCGAACTCTGGGTTACGATCTCTTGGATGCTGAAGGTCGATCGACTACTACGGAGAGATATCGTCGTCGAAGGGGAGATGTGTCATTGGATTCACGATCGGGGCTACTTACTCGGTCGTGGATGCCTTTCGGGCTCACCACCGCTCTTCTCTAGCCAGGGTCAATGGGGCTGCATCACATGCAATAGGGAAAATTGTATATGTGTGTGTTTCTATACCATCTAACGTGAGCACCTTTAGTATCTGACTTGCTTTTGCTTTGCAGAAAATTAATTTTAATAAATCCTCAAAGCGATGTTCATCAACTTCGATAAATTCTTCCACTTATCATGGTTATTTTATTATTTAAATCTACTCTCATACATTTGTGGATTTTTCGTATTGAAGGTCACATGAAGGTCACACTATTATAGATCATTGGGTCACGCTAATAAAAATATGTAGTCTCATTTAAAATTAACAGTGAAATTTCGAAAAATATGACCTGGAGAACATTTTTTGCTTATAGTATTTGCTCTTTCTAACTAAATAATACTTTCCCCTTTAATTGATTGAAACTTCAAAAATAAGTGTGATATTGAAGGTGTTCACGTTAGGTGGGTGGACACCCTGTATGTATATACCTTTGCATCTTTAGTGACGGACGGTGCACGCGGAGGTTGACGTTTCGGTGATCTACGCTCGGTCACGGTAGGCCCGAGACTCTGGGAACGACCGGTTCTCGGGCTGTTTTTCGGGCTGGATTTCGTCTTCGGCTGAACTTCCTCACGGTGCTCCTTCGAGTCCTCGCGGCGTCGTGGTATCACGGGCTCCAGCTTCTCTCTCGTCGGAGAGGGAAGCAGTGCACCGTCGCCTGTTGCAAAATTTAGTATACAGGGTGAATCATTCACGATCAATCCTTTCGAATATCTTCGAGACCGTTAAAAATGATACCGAAAAAATGTTTTCGGATGAAAAGTGAGTGGTTTTGAGTGGGGAAATAATTTTAAAATTTGTTTTTTTTTTAATTCTTATGCTGCCCATGGTAATCGGGATCGTCAAGGTTTGCACAATTATTCCTAGCGTTTTTACGACACGCGGTAAGTCGTAAAATAAAAGAATCCATTTTTTTGGCGAACACTTACCCACACCGGTGGTACGATCCAAATGATGGCGGATCAAGAAATCCTTTCTTGCGCGAGCGATGGCTCTTTCGGTGTCCTGGAAACGAACGGCCAACATTCAGAGAGCAAAACAAAATCAACGTACACAATATCGATTTTTGTGAACTAATTTGCAAAGATTGGAGTCCAATAGAAATTTTTATAGCCCCTTTATGAGAGTATATTTTTTCGAATATCTCGGACACTAGAGGGAGTAGGAAAAAATTGGTATTTTTGATAAATTGTGTGATTTTGAATGGGGAATTTAGTCGCACAACAAAATTAAACAAAAAATTCAAAACTTTAATATGTTACTTAAACAATTATTCTTCAAATTTTCTTATGTGACTCAATTCCCTATAACTTTTTCGTACTCCAAAAAATATATCATCTCTCAACTTTAGAAGTTATCACCCCTGTAACATGGTTAGAGGTTAACAATGGTGGGAGGGTTGTAACGAAACCAGTACCGCTTTCGGATCGTCCTGCAGAAGTCCATGCATAGGTCTGGCCTGAACCGAGGATGGTCGACCAGCTGGGGGCATGGTGATCGCCGTGGATATCGGCGCCACCTTCCTCGTGTTCTCCTTCTCCTTTTCCTCCTTCGTCACCGACCTGAGCAAAACGCAATCACTGGTCGTCACGGGGGCATTTTCCCTAAATGAGGCTCTATCCGCGAAACCGCGTGGAAGAAATAAAAGGCAGCTACGACAATTAACCGCGTAACAAAATTATCGAAAGATCAGGATCGAAAGTATCGCAACGATTCATTATATATCCCGTAGCTACAACGCTCTATACAAGCGTTCACCATCGTCGATAATTTCCCTAAACATATGGATCATTTCTCGCTGGAATATGGATCCTTCTGACAAACATTTTCTGCTTCGAGTAGAATGTGACCCACCATGTTTTCGGTCAGACATCGAGCGCTTTGTATATTCGGGCAAAGCCCACGTGGTGATCGGTTTCTGTCGACTTTCTACGCAGATATGACCCGTTTGTATAGGTACTGTGATTTAGAAATACGTTTCATCGTAATATCGGAGAGTAATACGTGTTCAGTTTCGAAATTGTTCGTGAAACAATCGAAACTCCATTATAATGGAGCCTCACGTTCCGAAGTAATTACAATCGAGCATTGTTCCGGCTAGTGGTTATTTCGCTCGGCTGAAACTACAGCTTGTTCCAAAAGTTACCGTGGAAAGTACCAAAAAAAAAAAAACTAACTCATACACAGCGAGCAAACAACCGTCGGCGTATCGACACACGTATACAGGGTGTCCCAAAATAGCTTCGACTCCCGGAAATGAGGGGTTCCTGGGATGATTTGAAACAAGTGTTTCCTTAGCAAAAATATTATCCGAGGCTTTGTTAACGAGGTATTAACGAAAAACTCTGAACAATCAGAGCGAGTCTGCCGGCCAGTTAAGTTACCAATCGCAGCGCATAGCTAACGTTACCGCGGAAGCTCGGCCAGCAGACTCTTGCTTTGATTGGTCGCTGTTTCTCGTCAATATCTCGTTAACAAAGCATCGAATAACATTTTTACTAAGGAAAAACTTGTTTCAAATCATCCCAAGAACCCCTCAATTCCGGGAATCGAAGTTATTTTTGGACACCCTATATATATAATTTCTGTTATAACGAGTTTTTAGTATAGTAAATCTTCGATTAATGCTCGAAACTTGGGCCTGCTTTGGAACAGTTATCGCAGAGGGAAACTATTCCCACACCTTAGAAGTTTCGGGCGAAGCCTCGGTAGCTCGCCTTTGGATTTTATCAGCAGTCAACATAGATTAAAAGCAGTGGTGGGGATGACAGTAGAATTCTTTCCGAACATTTATCGAGTTCTTAGTATAGTGTACTGGCCTGGCAAGGGACAGCGCGTTGAGAGCGTGGTTACTGGATACACGTTTCCACAGGGAAGCCTCGTCCTCGGCTGCCAGACCGCAACCCCAGTCGCGATGCTAATGTACAAATCAGAACGAGAGTGATTCTGTTGCTTTCTCCATAGATCACACACGTGGGATGGATCAGTCTACACGCTAACTCGCAGGAATGCTAACAGGACACACACACGCAACTAGGAGGACAGATCCACAGACACACAAAAAGCATGCTTTTCTGGAGGAGACAGGACACCACAGAGAGTGTCGTCATCTGAGAGGATGCAGCGGCATGCACGGTGTTCGACTCGAGAAACAGATTCGTTCTCTATCACGTTGAATCCAACGAAGTCTTTCGAATGTTTGTTCGATGGACTGATTGTATGTACAATGATTCGATGTACCGAAGAACGATGGACAGAACGGAACGCATGCAAACATCAAAATGAGGTGGTCAGTCTAGAATCACGATCGCCACTGGAATTATTGAATGTGATTTATGTAACGCTTTTTGTTAAGTTGTGTACAAGAGAAAACTCTTTGTAAAACGTTCAGAGTGTACAAGAATGAGATGTTATCGACTGTAGAACAGACAAGGGTGTGATTCTTCAAGGAAACAGCGAGTCCAGAGAGCAGAATAGAAGATGTTTTGATCATGAGAAAAATGACTGAACATTCCATGGATATACAGAATGTATTTTGTCGGGTAGTTTTTTTTATTTTCAAAAACAAGTGATATATTAAAGGCATTCACGTTAGGTGGGACACCCTGTGCACATGCTGTTAGTTTGCCTAGCCCGTCTGACCATTGCATGGCATTTCTACTTATTCTATATTCTAAAGCATTAAAATATGGATTTCAGTCGCCAACAATCGTAGTTCTGGACGTATCCAAGTAATAGTTGCACGAAGAATCAGTCCCTTGTCTGTGGTGGCTATCAGCAGCAACAAGCCAATGAAAAAATCAATGATAAAATCAATGAAAGAACTATAAATATATACATATATGTATATTGACATGACAGAGTATTCCGAGGACAGGTGGCCGAGAATAATACCAGACAGACAACGACTATACAAAAAGGAGTTAAGTACTGTTTCCAGCGGATTGGTCGGATGAAGAAAATCGAGAGACGAAACGGGAAATCTCGATCGTCGGATTACCTTGTACTCGTCAGCGAGCCGCCTAAGCTCGATCACGTCTGTGGTCGGAAACGGTTTCTCCTGCGGTTTGGCCGTCCCTTTATCATCCACTATCCTTACGGTTCTACCTGACTTTTTACCCCTGCAAAGAATCACAATATCGTGGTTGCATGGTGCATCGATTTAAGCTTCGCGGACCGCGGTTTTATGGATCGTCGTAGGTGCTTTTTCCGTTCTTCCCAGTATCGGACAGCGCGGTACTAAACTATTACTGTTATCATACGTATGTATATATACAGGGTGATACAAAAAAAGGCGTTCGTAATTTCTAGAGTGGATAGTACTCGCAAAACGATGATGACAAGGGTCTTAATAAATATGGATTGAAAGATTAATATTTAAAAAATTATAAACAACTTTTGTGTGGTTCAGTTAAAGCGAGTGTGATTTTCTTGAAACAATGAAGGAAATTGTAAAAAAAAAACGATAAAAATATTTAAAAAACCCTCTGTAACCAGAAAAAGAAACAATGATACAAAGTAATCCATTCTTTCTCCATACGGTACGCTAGCTCTCCAAGCGAGAAAGTCAGTAACTTTAACCGAAACACAAAAATTGTTTACAACTATGAAAATATGAATTTTTTGACCCGTGTTTATTAGGACCCTTTTTTTTCATCGTTTGGCCAGTACTATCTACTCTAGAAATTAGTAAACATTTTTTCTTGTATCACCCTGTGTATATGGATACGGTTGCGTCTTGAATCTCTGACCTGAAAGCGATTTTCAAGTCCGACATGTCCTCCTCGCGCTCGTCGCCCTCGGGCACCACGCCGTCGATCGTGTCCGCACCAGTTCCACCGACCAGGGGCTCCAGTTCCGACGCCTGTACCCCTGGAAATCATTTAAAAAATGTATTCAGCGAGTCGCTCCAGGCGTTACATCACGTTTTTTTTTTAAATTTCAACGTGGACCTCGGATGTCACGGACGACCAAGGAAACTGAACGAAACTTGTAATGCTTCCGTTGAAGGCAATAAAAATAGAGACGCTGATTTCGGGGAACTACAGTAAAATGTGCATTAGTAACCGAAAATTGAGACTGGAGCTTGCACTGTTTTTCACGAATATCTCAAAAATTAACAGAGACCGCCTATCATATATAAGTATAGGGGAAAGTTGTTAAGAATGATGGCCTTGACAACATATCTCAAGATCACTGAAATCCGGTGCTGAGGACCATATTCTCAATAATTACCGCTTAATGGTGGTTTTAAAGTTGTTAAGCTTAACGTTATCTTTGCTTAGCTGACCTAAGGATGATGACCGTTTTCTCAGTAGTCTATAGCTATTCACTACCGATCGTCGAACACGTCTTTCATTTGGATAAAGTATTGGTCGCCAGGTTTCTCGAATAATTCACGGCCAATAGGGCGTTATTGATAGACGACAGGATCGTACCGTCGCGTTTGTGATCGACATCACCGGGTCGTTTCTTGTGAACTGGGGCAGGTCCCGTGGGTGCGATGCCCTGCTTCAGAGCACCCATGCTGAGGGACTTCCTGGGTGGTCCTGTTGTCCCAGCAGGCGCCCCAGCGGCAGTGACACCCGGCGCCACTGTCTCCCCGTTCGTTAACTGGGGTCGTCTAGGCCAGGCGAACTGCAACCGATACTCGGTGCTGATCCGCGATATCGCTTTGCTCAGCTGACTCGGCGGCAGGCCAGACTGCGCTGTAACTTCCTGCAATCGAATTCTTCGTCAGAACCTTGTAGAAATCATCGTGTGTATGGAACATCCCCGAGCAACATACAGCAAATCTTCGACGAGTGTTTTAAGGCCCCTTGGGAATGACAAGGAGATATGTAACGCTGACTTTCTAATAAGGTATATGAAATATTTCATGTTCAGTAGCCTTCGAACACTCATCGAGGATTTACTGTCAGTGACCCAGTTCCTAATCAGAACCCAATTCCTGATCAGTTTAGTATATAGATACAATATAATAACTTTATTATAATAAAGGGTTTTTACTCCAAACAATTACTACCTAATTATTAACTATTTTGAAAACTATACGGAAAAGTTGATAGCTTAGAGATTCATTGCAGTACTTATTCTTAAAGTGAAATTGTAATTTCATTGTATTACTATATCTGTACTTTCGTTAATACCAAATCAAAGATAAAACATAGACTTATTCGAATAACAACGATTCTTTTGAATTTCATTAATTTTTCTCCACTTATATGTTAAAAAAACAGTGATAGTCATATTAAGTGATTAGAAACTGGGTCCGTAACGGTACTTGTGCGTATTATACACAAGTCTGTGAGTATGCACGGACACACGTACCCGAACTTTATCAGCAACAACGTTCGAATCGACGGCGTCGATGCCACCCCCGTCGGCCGCCGTGATGAACTCGTGGGTCTTGTACGCGAGCTCCGGGCATTTCTTTCGTCTGGGCAACGGCGGTTCCAAAGTCGGTCCTGAAACGACGAGTACACACACACCCGTTCAAAGGTTCCGTCGTACCGTCTCGTCGGACGTTTGCGCGCTCGCTACCACGCTCCTCCGTCTCTCGAACCCACGCTCGAACAGACCCCGATATTTCGACAATCGAATCGACAAATAATCGTAACGTTAAAACGGTAGAATATAGGAAAAAATTTCATAAGGAAAAATTTAATGATTTTGAGTGATGCGTCATATGGAGTTTATGTCTTCTCCGAAAATGGAGGCGTTTCAAAGATTTCAAGGTCACTTCTATATTTTTAAAGGACTATACATTTTCTTATACGCTATTCGTTGAAGTTTTTAATTCTCTGCAAAAAAGTATTAAGGTACAAAAATCTATAGCTTCATTTGAAAAAACTAGAAGTGATCTTGAAATCTTTGAAACGACTCCATTTCCAGAGAAGTACACACGCACCACGTGAAACCATTCAATTTTTTCTTATGAAATTTTGTTTTATCTTCTACCGTTTTAACACTACGGCTTAGGTCCAGTTGTGTGGGACACTTTGTGTATCACCTCGATCGTTCTCATTTTCGAATATTGCCTCGCGATCATCCCGCAGCTGCTATACGATCCGTTGTCATTTCAAGTGGTTGAGAGGGTTGGTTGTTCGAGGCGTGACAATCGATTTCCGTTAACACACGTTGACTGTCACAGTGAAAAAGGCCGTATGTAACCAGACACGCTTTATTTCGTTTTTGAAAGTCATAAATCGTCGACAATATATAGGGTGTTACCGAAAGTAAAACGAGCATGAGCTGATTCCTCATGAAAAGATAAGAAAAAATACGAAATAAATCTGCTAGATATGCGAGCAATTAAAAATGGGACTTGGCTGGCGCGTCTGTTCATTCCAGTCCGTTTCTACTTACTACCACGCGCGTTTCAGATTAATTTTCAAAGTCGAGTTTCTCGAAAACGAAGTCTCAAATGAACAATTCTATTATCCTATATTTTTGATTTATTTTATCACGTAGAATTACCTGATGCCCGGTTGTACTTAACTTTCGGAAGCATCCCACATGCGTTTACTTAACAAAGGCTTGTATTTAAATTATTCCGCGATATTAATTTTAGGCAAAACTTTCGTAACGGTATTCAAATAATCCAGCCCTCTTTGCAATGTCGTGTCATCCACATTTGGGAGACGTGTGACAGTCAAAGTGTTGACACGAGAAACTAATTAACCCTTTGCACTCGACTACCTCTGAAGGGACAAAATATATGGGAAATTAAGAAATTCCGAGTGCAAAGGGTTAACCACGGTCGAGAACGGTGGAGCAGCGAATAATATGTGTGTGTATGTACGTGTACGTGTGTGCTCGCGCATGTGCGTGCACGTCACCAGAGAAACAACAAGATAAACACAAAGTAAACAGAGACAGACAGAAAACGAACTCTCACGAATGAGCGAACTTCTCGATGCGCTGTATGCACGTAGAACAAGCGGAAGCTGGCTACCGTTCGTACAATAACGAAACTAATATAAACATTCTCACTAGAAGAAGAAGAAGCGAAAGGAAAATTACAAGGAACAAAAAGAAAAACGAGTTACAGAGCGACGTTCAGGCGGAACGAGGCGTATATATGCCCCTCTCCCTCCTCGTTCTCTACAAACCCCTGTGTACTTGGCCATCTCCGGCTTCGTTATTACACCTCCGGTTACCTGGAGACCGGAAGTGGTCTGTTTTCGCTCGAACCCCAAGACCCAGCTGAAAGACGATTAAGCAGCGAAAGCGAAAAGCGTCTCGAGAGGGTCGTGGTTTCGCGGGAATGGTTCCTTTGTGGCGGGTGGGGTGGGGGATGGGTAATAATGGGACTCGAGCCGCGGGAAAAACTTCTCCCAACGATTTAGTACGCGTGTTTACGCTAAAAACATGAACGATAATCGTTCCCAGATGCGTAGGGCCCTTTCAGGGAGTGGGGCCACTTCGTCGCCAGGGTTCTTAACTGTTCTAACTGATCTAGCAGTTAATTCTTCATATTTAACCCTTTCAGACCTGGTGGTCATATTTGTGAACATGAAGTTTCCTACAATTTACAGTAAGTTACTCTACATACTTAAGGTGTCAATAATTGGGACATCTACCCTACATAATATATATCGTAAACAAATTGTTTTCATATCTCAAATGTATGTTAATAAATAACCCCCGACTGCTTCTTCACTCTATGCGTTAGCAGTTTTCTTTTTACGAAAATCCTAAAATAAAAACGTTTTTTTACATCGTTTACATGAGAACGTACCCTTAACGCTAAATCATGGCCAATTTGGCTTTACAAAACGAAAGAAACGACCCCAGTCGGTGTAGTCCGTGAACGACAAGTGAACCCCGTCTTCAGTTTAGCACGGCTTATGCCTCGTGTCTGAAAGAGCCCTTATTGCACCGGTGAATTAAGGTCAACGGAAATCGGATTCGAAAGGTATATCGTCGCGGGACGGGGTGGGGTGGGCAGGTGAAGTTGAACAGGCGTGGGGGGTCAAGTAGAGGCGCAAAGTACGCGGGCGGAGACCGGGGCTGTCCCGTCGGCTTCCTGTTTGTCCCGTTCGCGAGGAGTTCCGCGACGATCGGCACCGGTCCATTCCGCGCGCGTCCCCTTACTTCCGTTTGGGCAGATTCTCCTGGACGGACGGACGCTTTCTGCTTTTGGAACACGACTACTCTCGCTGGCGACAACACAATGTTGCCACACGAGAAGGATCGATTCGTCGTCGCTATACAAGGTGTCCCACAGAACTGGGCGAAAACCGTAGCGTTGAAATGGTAGAAGAAAATGTCATTAGGAAAAATTAAATGGTTTCGAGTGATGCATGTGTCTTCTTCAAAAAAGTGCTGGCGTTTAAAAGATTTCAAGGTTTATCTTATAGGAAGTCTAGTTTTTTTTGTAGATGACACATGCACCTCGTGACGCATCATCCGAAACCATTTAATTTTTCTCAATGACATTTTTTTCTACGTTTTACCGTTTTCACGCTATGGCTTTTGGCTCGGTTCTGTGGGACACCCTGTATACGTGTGCGTATGTGCGGGCACGTGGCCGTGCGTGTGCGCGCTGCTCGTGTATTATATACAGGGTGGTTTACCTAACGTGACTCAGTTACTCGTTCATTATTGGCTGTATGAAATGATATTTTAAACAAAAGTTGTATGGTATCAAGGAGCCCAGATAGCACATGACGCCTTTAAAACGCCCATTTTACGGTTATTTTAGGTCTAAAGCGCTTTTAAGCCGCCTTCAAGACGTCATGTGCTAGCTGGGAGAATATATAATGCAATAATCTTTTTTTTACAAGTTGATAAAATTCTTCAAATGAAACCAAACATGACATAATTTAGATTATATTACTTTACTAATATTAATATTAATATTTTCAATAAATTATGTCATGTTTGGTCTCAGTTTAATTGGAAGAATCTTGATACCGTGAAATTTATGTTTAAAATATTTATTTTCATACAGCTAATAATTTACGAGTAATCGAGGTGGCCACGTTAGGTGCACCACCCTGTATAACGGGTGTGGGTGACTGTGCGTGGAATATTGACTAGGTTATGTAAGCGTCTTTGCAATCTTAATGCAACGACACCTTCGTGGGCCTCGCCGAGATTCTTGGAGAAATAGGCTTGCCCTTCTTTCGACGGGGATCGTCCAGGCGGGAGGATGATTTCTAGGTTAGGGTAATTTGGCAGAGCGTTCCATGGCCTCTGATAGCGATCAGGCCCCCTCTTGCACAGTCGAGGTAATGTTATTAGTGAAATTTTGCGAGTCAGAAGCTACAAGTTACCGATAATACGAAATTCAGTTGCACAATACTAAAACGTAGAGTTCTACGAGTAACTTTGACAAATTACAAGTCAGCTGATTATTCAATTTCACGTTTTGAGATTATACGCATTTGGACAGAAGTGAATTACTAATTAATATAGCTAAATGTGTTTTCTTTTTTTAAAAAATGGACAAGCGGGAAGATAAATCTAAACTGAAGTTTTATTGACAATTATTATTCTTTGCGCAATAAACACTCGTGAAAATCTACATCAATGATAGTAACGTAACTTGTAGCTTGTAAAATTGGAAAAACTGTTGCAGCAGATGTCTACAAGTTACACCAAATAACTTGTAAATTCACTAATAAATATTGTTTGGTAAATTACTGCGCAAGACACGTTCTGTGATTGTTGATTCGATCACGGATTCGTTTCATAGCTGGTTCGAGGATCGTGTGTTCCAAGTCGGCCATTTTGGAGAATGAATTATGTAGAATCAGCCGTTTCAGATATGTTGCAAGGTTCGAAACGATACCTAGATCCTAATAGAAAATTCTGGAGTAATCAACACGAGCTCTGTACACGGATCGTATTTGTAGAAGCCAAATTCTACCCCCTCCCTCTCTGTTCTTTGGCACTGTTCCATCTTACCGTCAATTTAATCAATGCTATAACCATCCCGTTTCGGTAGAACGATCCCAGTGAACGAAACGATCTTGATTTTATTGCGTACTACGCGACTCGAGACTTTTGCGTTCTGTCTCTATACACTGTCTCTGCTCGACTTATCTTTCGACTTGATTCCTCCAAAATGGTACCCTTCTTCGGGACCATCATTCTAAAGCGTCGTTACTCGACTATATTATGCAAATACACATCTACGCAGTCTGATTTACAGAATCGACACTAGAATAGTAAACTGTCCATTGTCACAACTGAAAATAGTACGAAAGCTATTCTATACACGTTCAATGAAATTTGAAAATAAAACCGAAAAGTCCAGAAGTTCCAAAAACTTCAAAGTCAAATTAACAGGCACTCCCACTTCTTCATCGTATAACTCTTGAAGTACAAGAGATAGAAAGAAATGTTTCAAACAAAATTGTTTCTAAATATAAAATATCATTTATACGACATCTAATAAACACAAAATTGCAACAAAATATTTCCTTGGTGATTTTTAAATAATTTGGGAATGAAT